ACCGTTACCGGAGGGCGGAAGGTCCGGGGTTCGATCCCCGGCCGCGTCATACCAAAAGACGTTAAAAGATGGTACTTGTTGTTATCCTGTCTGGCGCTCGGCGTTAAGGGTCTAAAACAAGGACTGGTCGGCTCGGAGTCAGTATACTGTGTCTGAGTGGGGTATTCATGTTCAACTGCGGCATGGTTACTCAGTGAGCTAGTACTATAAGTCGGCAGCAGTCCGGACAAGTTCAAGCACACACGTGCATGCACGTCGCTACATACACTCTTCAAAAAAGAAACGCACAGGTAGTATGTAGTTCATTGAACCTAACTACACAAAAAATCCGGTATTTAAATTGGAAAATGTTGGTGGCCTGATATTCGACAAACGGTGCGTCAAAACGCAGCCATTGTCGCTTTGCAATGTCTTAAACGGCATTGTTTTCACACTTGTTCAAAAATGTCATGGAGGAAATCAGTAAAGCAAAAATGCACGTGCAAGGTATGGCATTCGTAACTCGTGGTAGTGGCTATAAAAAGGCAAGCATAAGCCAATAATTTGTCATTCAATTGTCAACATTTTTCAAGTTTGAAAATGCCGAGACTCAGCCCTGCCGATCGGAACATCGCCATAGGACGTATCCAAAGAGGGGAATCGCAGTCTTCTGTTGCACGCCACTTCAACGTCCAGCACAGCACCATTTGCCGCCTTTGGGACCGATACACACAGTTCAATTCCATTGCAGACCGTCCAAAAGCCGGCCGACCAAGAGTTACCACCCCTGCACATGATCGCTATATTCGACTGTTCCACCTACGTCATCGCAATGCCACAGCTACGGAGACTGCAGGACGCATCCCTGGCTGGAGGAGGATATCGGACCAGACTGTCAGGAACCATCTTCATGACACTGAAATCTGACCCAGAAGACCAGTTATCGTCCCTGTTTTGCAACCTTGGAATTTAAGAAACTGGAGACGAGTGTGGTTTAGCGCTGAATCACGATTTCTTCTTCACCGACGAGATGGAAGACAACGTGTTTATCGTCGTCGAAATGAGCGTTTTGCACCACATTGTGTACGTGAATTCGACAATTTTAGTGGCGGTAGTTTCATGGTGTGGGGAGCCATATCCTACACCCCGAGACCTGACTTGGTTGTGGTTCTGGAAAATTTGACATCAAATCGCTACATGAATCAAATTCTTCCCCCACCTTCTTCCAATCATTGACCGCCAGAGGGAGCTGTTTCAACAGGATAACGCTCCACCGCACACAGCTCGTGTCACGGTAGACTACCTTCATAATGCCAACATCAACGCCTTGCCCTTGCCGAAATCTACAGATCTCAACCCAATCGAACACCTCCTGGATGAACTCGATCGACGTGTACATCAACGTCAGAATACGCCGCAGACACTCCAACAACTGGCCAACGCGTCCGACCACCCATCCATTGAGATGCCTCTTACGAAAATGATAGGCGACTTGGGGTTCGCCACGGGGTTTGAATATCAACATGGTCTCACAATGTTGTTGGTATATATTTGGAAATACTTCCATATATCTCTTCACATGATGTTCCTTCTTATTCTTTCGTAATTAATTCATATAAAATGTGTGTATTGTTTAATTCTGTCCATGAAAGGAGAGATTCAGTCGTTTCAAGAATTTCAAGACAATGTCATATTTGCAACACTTAACTGAATATTTCTGAGAATTTATTGTTGAAATCCGAAAACCATCCTCGTTTCTTCAGTTTTCTTCATCTAATTTTAATATTTTATTGAAAATTAATAATTTGCAAATTGAAGATAAACAGCTTAGAAAGAATAAGTTGAACATCTTCCTGAGATAAGTACATTAACTGGCCATAAAAGTCCAGTTTCAGCCCTTGCCGAAATGGGCTTGATCGAATCGCCACCAGTGGTTATAGCGAATTATGTCCCTTCTATGTCCTTCTTTTGACCAATCAGATTCCATCTCTCATATCACTTGCATTTGCTTCAAACAAGACGATCTGATCTATAACCAAGATCTATATTGTAATAAATGGGTCTTACCCCGCGAAGTGCATCAACTCACTTGATTACCTTGATCATAAACATGAATAGATTTCCAAAATATCTGTCGACGCCCAGTTGGCGGTACATCTGCTTTGCAAACCCTGCAGTCTACCGAAATCTTCACCTTGAAATCCATGTTGTTTATAAACCGGATGTCTAGTTCGGAAGCACAGACTCGTAAGTCCTGCCAAATTGTAACCCCGGAATTGTAATTCCAGGAAACTGGACTTTTGCAGTTAGTTAACGCCCTTTCCTCGGGAGGATGGAGTTGAATGGCTTGCCAAAGATGCTTTTGTACAAAAGACTATATTTAGATCCGTAACAGAGAGGTTCAATAGTCGTACAACAGTAAAGCGAGCGCTGCTGTAGCGCCTACGTTAATTTTACTATGGCCCAGTCAGAATCAGAGTTATCGTTCTTGTTTGAAGTGGTTCTGGTGTCCATACGCCAATATAGGACACCTTCGGGAGGGGCACGAGTCTACATTCGGCTTGTCCCGGAATGGGACGAGTTGGTCACGAATGGACAGCCATCGCTTGTTTGTAAACATAACGGTCAGTCTGTCAGTTCATCTCCAAGCATGGTTGTGGCAGGCTATCACTGTGGGGAGCTGTGACTGGTGGCAGTGATAGTAATAGCAATCTCATTAAAATCAGATGTTAGTTCTCGCTATCGCTGAATAAAGATATGAGGACATCCCATTACGGGTCACGTCACAACGACCTTTCATCCGACCAATCAAAGCGTCGCTTACCAGATCATGAAAGTGACAGTCGGAATGTATTTTCAAATCATGCAACCTCGAAAACGTTAAAACGGGGATTTCCGAACGACAGTTACGGCCCGTGCGACTGATTCCGTCAAAATTATCGTCTATCTCTCGGTTCCGTGGGATACACATTTGAACGGATGAGGCGTTGCACAGTACGTACTAAGCACTGGCATACATTCTCAAAATATTAATCGAGAACTGTGTCAATATATTTTTCAAGCGTAGACAGAAATGGAAGTCGCCAGGTTGAAACGAGTGCCGTAAAGCTCGAGAAAGCTGCTTTCGACGGCTTGCTAGTCATTTCAGTCGTCGGTCAAAGTTCGCGAAAGGTCGTCCTGACGTGACCCGTAATGGGATGTCCTCAGGTCTTTGTTCAGCGGCAGGGACAACTTAGATCTGATTTTCGTGAGATTGTAGTAATAGGAGATCCGTGAACGGGCTATCGCTGTGAGGAGCTTGATGTCAAAACTTTATTACATCGCAGATTGTGGACCTATTCAATTTAATAAATAAAAAAAGCATATTATTGAAGAAACTATCTAAATCTATTCCTGTGTGGGCAGTTTTTCCTTTGTTCGCAAATTTACAATATCCGGTATCCGGTTCCATATTTCCCGAGACTCCATGTCAGAAGATACATATTTGTTTCAATATTAATGTGATTTTAGAACTGTTTCGGACCTTTGTTTTATTACTTGGAATAAGTCAATGGTAAGAATGTTTTTTTAATTACAATATGATTTTATTGTGATGTCTTTTCTTTGTCTTATCTCCTTTCCTTTTTCCCACAATGTTATAAATTTCGGATTTCCGGTATAGCTTGCTCTCAATGGTCGATCAGACATGTTTAAATTGTCGAATATTTGGTACAGATCGGTAAAGTTTTGAATGGGTATTTTCCATTAAGAATCCTTTCCCCCTGGGAAAACCAGATGAGAAACACAAAAATAAGACATCGAATGAGTGAATGAGTGAGTATGGTTTTACGCCGCTTTTAGCAACATTTCAGCAATAACACGGTGAGAGACACCATAATAACGCATGTGGGGATCGAACTCGGGGTCTTCGGCTTGAAGAGAGACGCTTTAACCACTTGGCTACACCCCGCCCCATTACAACGAAGCATGTTGTATCGAATGTATGTGCTCTCTCAACTTGTCTGAAAATGATAGCAGGTAACATATACCATTCGTTAAAAATGTTACCACAGAGAAGGTTCAATTTCTTGACAAAGCAGATATTTATACGAAGTTTCATGAAGAAATATCGAACAGCTTTTAACTAGGAGGGACGGGAAGGGCTCGTTTCGGAGGACACTATTTGAAGGGTGATTTTCGTACATAGCATTAACATACAATGTTCATGTTCTATTATAAAGACGTGTTTGTGTGTTTGTTTGTTGTTGTCTATGCAATTGGAATACGATGCCATGCATTAACCAAGTCAGCGAGTCTCACCATAGAGTCCTACGGATCGGGAAAGGTCCAGAGCGGTCGGCCAAGCACTCCCAACAGTACGGTGCGTCCCGTAACATTCGGGAAACTCAGCCGATTTTGTCTAGTCGGATTACAATCGCGACTATGTTGTGACATATTCTGCTGTATCGGATCAAAATCGTAACAATGTCCTGTGTTGTCTGGACGGTTTCCTGTGGATCGGGACACTGTCGTGATGAAAGGGCATGAATTGTTCATTGCCGTTTCTTGCCGATTGAGTCCAGATTGCTTCCAGCTCTTGCCGAATACGAACCGTCTTTGTCGGTTCACTGTCCGGTCACTGTCTGATCTCTGTCGAGTCGCATTCGGGAGAATCGGGACGCTGTCCGGACAGATTCGGGTTTTTTTTTACCATGCGGAAGATACAAATCGGATCAGATTCGGATTGAGATTGGGAGCATCGGGACGAATTCGGCTGAAAACGGCTGAATCGTGACGCTTCCTGAACAATATCTGATTGTTTGTGAATTTCCCGCCACGAATCACAGGATCTTGATCAGACTTTAGACAAATCTTAATCGGGAATGGTCCTATCAAGGAAGGCAGTAAAAATCCTGAATGTGTGACTGAGCCCTCACAGCAAGCATGGATTGCTGAAGATCAATTCTATCCCGCATCTTCTAAGGTGTATCCAGACATGTGATTGGATTATAGCAGGCGAACCAATGTCTAAATATACTTACGCCTTCAGAATGTATGCACCCACGATACTTCCGCAGCACTGGGCCAGGATGTACAACAGTCCCCGGATGACGGAGATGTTCTGAGCCACCACGAAGCTGATGGTGATGGCGGGGTTGACGTGACCTCCAGACACGTGACCGATCATCTGTATCAACGTCATGATAGCGAGGCCAAAGGTCATAGAAATCTGAAAGACAGTGAGAATAATATTAACTAATTTTTAATCAGTATAATCGACCCTCTTCTATGCAATGCTAAGGGATCGACCATAGCAAACACTGCATTACATATAACCTAAAAACATTGTTACAGGAAATACTGGAAATATTATTCAGCCTCATGTTTTACGCGAACACCTGGTGTCATCACTGGTTATCAGTGATCCTTTCATATAAATTTCACCTCTGTTTTGCCTTCTTCGCCCAATGGAATCTGTTTCGGCGACAACTTGAGACGTCTCTGGCGTTGGCGTTGTTATAGTGAGTGAGTGAGTTGGGTTTAACGCCGCTTTTAACATTATTCCAGTTATATCACGGCGTGTCAGCTTAATGTGGGAGGAAAGCCCGAAGTGATGCAGGTCTCAGACGTTTACCACTTCGGTGAAACCCACGAGCACGGGTATGGTGCTGACAAACCTAGAAACATAATTGGGGCGAACCGGGATTCGAACCCACAATCATATGTTTCTGGCGTGCCCAAGGGACGCAACTCTGCACAGCGAATCGCGGCGCCTTAGACGACTGGGTCACCCGTGCCCCCTTGGCGTTGTTATAATTACAAAGCAAAACAAAATGTTCTCTAGTCGTGTTCAGTTTCTCCTTTCATGGAAATAAATGTCGAAATATATGGCAAGTTTGATCATAACATTATTCATCATTAAGTCGAGTACTTAAGATTTTATTCAATCTGGCAATTCAAAATATTGGCTTGGCATTGAAAAGTGTCATGCTGAACGAAAACCTTATGAAGCCGCTGTGGACACATGCATGCATCTCCTGGTCAGTGTGCACATACTGGAGTGAGTTAAAATTTAACGTCGCATCGGCATTATCTCAGCCATATAGCGACGAGGCACGAGAGGCAGTGAGAGTGTGGCCTTGACATGAGGTTCTTATTGCATGCGATGTCTCGGATTGGAATTACATAGGTAGCAGGATGGAACCCAGTATAACTCCACTTCTTTGATAGGCATTCTGGTCCACTACTGACTTCACCAGATACACCACAGTGAGGTGTATTACTTGGCAAGGATAAAACACGCGTGGGTATTTTCTTTACATTGCTGCAACCCTGTCTATTTGTACATCTTTGAAAGAACAAAGCAATTCCTCCACTAGTTACGCTAGTGATGTTATAATTATTCTTTTATTTTCCAATGGTTATGCTTGTGATAAACCTTTTTTTTAAATATTCTTTCACTGAAACCTGAATTTGACCCCTATAACGTAAACAATGGGGATCCCTTGCTGTCGTTGTAAATGTATCACTGACAATGAATAGGATTCAATTACCACGGCTCCTCCACGGAGAAGGTGGATGTCCTTAAACCTCGTGACACTGACACGAACCATTAAATCCGAATATATATTAGTGTACTAGTGCGAATGGAAACTAACTAACTATGGAGACAAACTATCTGTCGCGGGGCAGTCATGCTTTAACCAGCATCCTCCAGCATATGTAGCAATTAAACACGGAGAAGGGGAATGTCCATAATCCTTGTAACACTGACACGAACCATTTAATCCGAATATATATTAGTGTACTAGTCCGAATGGAAACTAACTAACTTTGGAGACAAACTATCTGTCGTGGGGCAGTCATGCTTTAATCAGCATCCTCCAGCATATGTAGCATGCGTGTATCATTAAAGAGTCGGAGAGAGCACGAAGTGTCGGCTTCAGTTTTCTTTTCAAAGAGCCTAGGTTAAACGAGTAATGTAATGTAATGCTTATGTAATGACCGTGGACACACGTGAGGTACAAATGTTATTATTTTGTTCATACAATTCTTGGCACACATTATCCGAAATGTATTCAAATGTTATATACAATAATGTTATGTGATTGTTTGGCAGGTTATACACACAGGTTATAAAATCGATACATTTTTTTTTACAGAAATTCAGAAAAAATAGAAAACTGTTTTCATGTTAAGTGAGTATGGCTCCGACCATCAAATGTTCAAATCAGGGACAATCTAGGATTTTGGCGGATCTTTGAATGACTAAGGGACGCAACTCTGCAGCTTGCATTACGGCACCTTTAACCACATGGCCACCTAGTTCTCCTACTGTACAAAACTTCCTCATAAGGAGGAATATCCTAAGATCGTAACGCAGAGAGGTATCGTATCGGAGTAAAAGATCTGATTTTAATAAGATTAAGTTAATTTGGGCCTTTTTGTACTTATAACAGAAAATACTTTCTTATTTGTATTCAGTTGTAAATAAAGGGACTGATTGTAGTCGATAGATTAGCCAATGATTCTTTCAAGTGTACGTTTACGCATTCTACATATGTTTTACTGCAACATTAGATGTTTTGACACAGTCATTGTTTTCTGAACTAACACATATTTACCTCTTAGTACTCTATATTACAAATGGCCTTAAACAGTGTCTCATTGGTCTTAATGACTGGGCACTGTTAGATGGTAAGAATTATTGTATCAATGTTTTGGCGTATGGTGTTTGGTCGTCCGTATATCGAACCTAGCAGGGCACTTCGAGATAACCAGACATTTGCGATAGGAGGCATGGACAGCTAGACGGATCAGGAACAGTATTAGAGATTTATAGCAATACGATTTCATACGTGAGGAATTAAGAACACAACACGTGTATGCCATGACAAACTGAAATGTATTTGGCAGGCAATGACCAATACCATTTGTGACACACTATTCTGGACAATACTGTACACAGATAACGCCACACACCGACCTGGTCAGGCACGAAGTAGATGTGTTGTGCAACATTTAACGACACAATAGGCATTCCAGAACATTTGGAAACATGAGTGAGTGAGTGAGTTAGGTTTTACGACACTTTTAGCAGCATTCCAGCAATATCACTGCGGGGGACACCACAAATGGGCTTCACACATTGCACCCATGTCGGGAATCGAACTCGAGTATTCGAGCGAACGCTTTAACCACTAGGCCACTGAACTATTGGTACAAATTAACTGTGCCTTTGAAGCGATGTGAGATGATTGTGTGAAGAAAGGTGCAAGATATACGATCCCGTATCTTGGAGAATTGCTTCCCGCCATGTGAAAGCCTTATTGGCGCTTCTCAAATCTGTGAATGTGTATCTACAAAGTATGACACTTCAATAACATATTTCTTAGTTTTTTTCACATAATAATATCTAAAAGCGACAAAACCATTTCCATATTCATAAGAAATCTCTGCTAAAAGCAGAATCGATTGCACGTTTCCAACTATATCATGAGCATGTGTTTATAATTAAATTTGTGTTGAGTTCATTGTAATTCCTGTATTCTGATTAGCTGAAGTGGTCACGTGTTATTGCATTCAGTTCCCAATGAAAGTAAAATATTAGGCCATGCCGACCGAAGCGGACTACTTTTATTACTACGTGAATCCCCATTCGTCACCACTCGCCCCTTTCCGTAACCTGCAAGAAGTCTCGTCCCTCTATCGATGAATGTTATGTGCGAAAATACGACAAACCAATCAGAATGCGCGTATGATTTCAAGTTCTTCGTCAAAGAATCCCCCAGGAATAATTTTTGAATTCACAAATGTCTTGCATCTAAAAATATACCAAAGACACAATTAAATGTGTTCAATCATACTGTATGATTCCGCACGTCCCGATGTGCTTTAAATTGCATCTGAAATATATATAATAAATGGGGAAAATGTGTAAACCATTACGCAACGAGTTGAAATTTTTTTTTGGGTGTGCCCGTTTGCGCTAAGACTGAGCCCGGTCGTAAAAATGGCCACGAGAGGGGCACGAGTCGCTATTCGGCTTGTCCCGGAATAACACGAGTTGGTCACGACTGCGTGAATCCCAATATGACAGTCGAGGGAATTCCCTTTCTGCTCGCGTGTATCGTCATGCACAGGACATTTAGCGAAATTCATGCATTTTCATTGTCCAAACTACCCTTTGCGACCGAAGGCCGAGAAGGAATGAAACAGCAAACGTGCAGATTCGCTCGCCTGTTTTTTGTCCGCTCGCTTGGGTTCCACAAATACCATGTCTTCGGGTTTCATTTTTAACCCGTACATTTCCAACTGTGTCTTCCCGTTCTCATGGAACTAATGTTTGAATCTGGCGGTAACTGACCATGTTATTTGAAAGAGCCGCCTTCTCCCGAACATACATATGTTCCGGTTCGTCATAGGCTGACTGTTGCAGTGCTTCTCGCCTCTTGCCTTGATTGACTGCTCCTTTGAAGTTTGTTTTGATCCTTCTCTCCGTTGATTTGCTACTGACTTGTGGGCGTGTCAAGTCTTGTGCATAAATTAAAAAATCACCTGATTCATGTCACACCACAGTATGTATTCCTACGCCTGGAATGTTTATCAATCTCGACATTTTTGTCTTCTTTGATTTATATAACCTATTTTGATTAAACTATTGTACCTAACACATGTTTTCATAGTTGAATTTTATTCTAAGGATTGACTGTGTATTTTGTTCGGTTCATTTAGGAGATAAAGCTTCTGTGTTTTAAAAATTTGATGTAGTCCCACTGTAGAGTAGATACCTCTTTATTTTCATTTGGAACCGAGCGCTATGGTAGTGGGTTTATCTCCATTCTACCATGACGACAACAACGGTTTGAAAACGGTGCTCTCTTGCAACGCGTAACAACACAGGTACACAGGTCCGCAACCTTAGAACATTCCGAAAAGTGGTCACAGGTAGTTATATATGTAACAATTATGACTGTAGTTAAAGATTAAAAACACCATAGTCCTGAGTAGTTCAAAATAAGTGTTCAAAACACATAGTTTTTCAAAAAGACGATGACAAAAAACACTCCAAACTTAGTCCAAAGACAGATGTTTTAATTTCTGCCACCCCGTTCTGCACTGTTTGGACTTACGATGTCATTTCAATTATGCGAGAGACGTCATTTCTTGGAAATCGAACATACCATTTCCTTCGTAGGGGTGGCAGGTTGTACAGAAAGGTCTTAAAATGGCAAACAAAAATATATCTACAACAAACGTTATGAATTAACATTCTATTATACATTAAACATGTGTAAGTGTTATTAGTTAGTTAGCAATTACCCCCAGTTAACAATAATAACATCAACCCCGAACTTGGATTTGGCAGAACTTCACCGACATCACTGTAACTCACACCTCACAGCTGTCAATGGCTGACAATCTTGTGTTTACATTCTCCGTAACTAGTTATATGAAGCAAGATGACAACCCCGATGTATTCCCCGATGTGGTTCAACATTAACCTGTAGATGTACTGGGAATGATCGAGCCGGATATTTTGACACGAGGTATCTGTATGGTGTGACCTGTCAATATCATGATTTTATGGATTCAAAGCCAGAGTGTGAATGAAATGAGACATTTGTGGCCAAAAAAATAGTGGGTCGTGTATGATTTTCTTAATTGTGCGTGTTTTGAAATGAATTTCATCAAGTTTGACAAGCTGTCACTTCAGTTGGGACATTGTTTTTGTGGACTTTCGAAGGGTATTGTTTTCTGATGGACTTTCAAATCTCCTCCCAGCTAATATATAACATTTTCAAAACATTTTCAAAAGGTTTCATTGTAGTTTTTCAAAAACTTTACTGAAATGTTTAAAAAATGTTTTTCAGGAACATCATGCCATAACAAAGGCGAAACTATTTGATAACATGTTGTTGAGATGTTTTCAACACATTGCCGAAATGTTATGCCAGAAACTTTTTCATGAATGTTATTGAATGTGTTAAAAATGTTATTCAAGAGCATCATGCTTTAACATAGGCAATACTGTTTCATAACACATTGCAGAATTTCATGAAAAGCTATCACCATGTATAGTTGAACACAAGTTCCCCAGCTAGCACACTCCGTTTTCATAATGCTGTGAGGTGAAGTTGGGTTTAACGTCGCGTCCATGATTATTGCACTTATATAGCGACGTGCATGTGGGTGCGCGTGTGTGCGTGCGTGCGTGCGTGCGTGCGTGCGTGCGTGCGTGTGCGTGTGTGTGTGTGTGTGTGTGTGTGCTTGTACTAGTCCGGACTGATGCCGATTTATAGTGCTAGCTCACTGAGATACCATGCCGTAGTTTAACATGAATACCCCACTCAGACATAGTGTTCTGACTCCGAGCCGACCAGTCCTTGTTTTGGCCTCTTAATGCCGAGCGCTAGGCAGGGTAGCAGCAAGAATAATCTTTTAACTTCTTTTGGTATGATGAGTCCGGGGATCGAACCACCGACCTTCCGCATTGCGGACATACGCTCTATCCACTAGACCACGCTGGCGGTCTATCATGTTAAATATTACATGGAAATCTGTAGTGTTGGACCCCGTGAGCACCCGGGTTAAAACAGGTCCCCAGCAACCCGTCGCATGAGGCGACTTAATTAGTCGTTACTCATAGTATTAATCGCTTGTTTCTCTGCTCAAGATTAGACTATATACTATCACAATACTTAAATGCCCCCAATACTAAGGGAGGTGGCGGCGGTTGGGTAGCGTAGTGGTTAAAGCGTTCGCTCGTCACGCCGAAGGCCCGAGTTCGATTCCTAACAATGTCTGAAGCCCCTTTCTGGTTTCCCGGTCGAATAAAATGAAGCAACCGAGCTATACTAAAAGTCGGGAAGACAAAATGTAACACTTGACCTCAGTAAGTAATTTAAGTTACGACGACACAGTGCTGTTGAAACGTTTTTCATAGTTTGTGAACATTAAGTTTATAAGAAACTTCAACACCTCGTTGACATGTAACGTTTCTCCAATACCATTACGGTCACAGCTAATTGATATTGGAAACTCACTATGGAAGCTGCATCAAACTTAGCATGGCCTTCAGCTGTATGCGAACATGATTGAAAGGACGATTTTTTCTAGTAATATCTTTTACACATTTTTTGTCAGTTGATCTAAAAAACTGATAATCGCAACTGATAAATGATTAAATATTCTCTTCTCACATACTCACAATTATTTAATTATTTTAAAAATTATCATGCTTTTTAATATAGCATTCTGGCATTTATCACAACTAGAGAGTCTGGGTTATGTCGCTTTATGTCCAACGTTATTCTCTATTTTGACTTGTACCGGATGTTCCCGTGTTTTTCAGGTGAACAAATGACTTGCCTTTGCATGTGTTTACGATGGGTGTCACCAGTGGGGCAGGATACGTTCACCTTTTCGTGAACACCCGGTATCATCACTATATGATAGGGATTTATAAACATAGGGTTATGATGCAGTCGGGTCGTACACTTCTCTGTCATTATGGAAAAGGTCTTGTTAGTTATACCAGTATGATAATTTTCAGTTGGGCTGAAAGTCGCTTCCATGTGCTCTCGAAGGATTCATAGTTAGAATCTCAAACAAATATACAAAATATTTATGTTTAGACAATGAAATGTTTTAATGGTTTCTTTCCATGTGAAGATGTACAGCATTATGAAAGGTGTTATTTACCTTTGATAATGCTGTACATCTTGACACTGATTAAGAAATGCATATTTCATTTTTTATCCAAATACTCATCTAATTAAAGATGTACAGCATTTTGAAAGGTTAATAAAACTTGAAAAGATTCTTTCTTTTTTATCCGAATACTCATCTTAATGAAGATGTACAGTATGGGAAAGTAAATCAAAATTGAAAAGAAATGCATTTTTCTTTTGTACCCCAATATTCATCTAAATGAAAATGTACAGCATTTTGAAAGGTTAATGATAATTGAAAAGAAATGCATCTTCCTATGTTACCGCAATATTCATCTGAATGAAAATGTACAGCATTTTGAAAGGTAAATGATAATTGAAAAGAAATGCATCTTGCTTTGTTACCGCAATACTAATTAAAACAGCATCAAATCCCGTGAAGGCTTGTACACAGCTAAACGTATTCAGTCCACATAAACATGATTATTATCAATTATTATCAATATATACATACATGTACATCTGAACACATTTACTAGTCGCCTCTTACGACAAGTATGGTCACCTCTTACGGCAAGCATAGGTTGCTGAAGACCTATTCTACCCCTGATCTCAACGGGTCCGCTATATGATATATACCCTAACCATAACCATATGTGTATAACAAATTTCTTACCGTAATTTTGTTGCCATCAAAGAGCACAGATGCAGACCCAACAAACGTCAGCAGCAGCGTCCCAAGGAACTCGGCATAAACCGCCCTCCAGAAACATGCAGTCTTCAGTTCTCGGACATCACATGTTTTAGCCTTGACATTGGTGCCTAATCTTGTTGAATGGAGTTTGTTTGCAACATGAATATAATAACCCTCCATTGTCACTTCTTCAGCAGCAATTCCACACTGTTAGCTTGTTTCACAGCTGTGATGACCTGTCTTTAACCCTGAAGCTGAAGCGAGCGATTAAATCCTCTGTGAAGATTTGGACAAACGTCGATTGGTCAGCGACTTGTCACGTGACCGCGGTGATGATTACATACGCCTTGTGAAAACCTTTGATCAAAAATATACCATACCTGTCTGATAATGTTTTGTAATTGTTGGTATGCCACATCTTGATCAATGCAGAGATTTTCACAATAGATAAGTGTCGACGAATGGTGTTAGAGTATGTGCTTGTCAATATGCAGGTACCTCGCAGGGCCTATTAGCCCATGGCAACGGGGCGTTACGAGTTGAAAGAACTCCGTTGCCTGCATTGGACACTGTGGCCCTTTTACATCGGCAGAGCATAAGACCCTAATGTAAAACTTGATACATTTTATTTACAACGGAAAAAAATGAAGAGGGAAAGTGTCGCGGAGACTTTCTATAGTAAACATGGGAGTGATTAAATAAAAATATTATAATGACTATTGACATAGTGATAGGTGATGTCTCAAAGATGTTTATCGATCATCGAACTGTTGAACTGCTGTCTAAGTTTATAAAGACGAAGAATAAGTGCTTACATCGGCAGAACTGACACATTCTTTCACATAGACTGTTTAAGTTACATCTTTGTACATAAAAGCTGCGTACGTCGTAGCATTGACAATTAAGGGATACTAGTGTAGAAGTCAGTAAATAACTGAGTTAATACTTCAAATTGATTATAATGCGCAGTGTTTGCATCGATTCAAATAATTATCCTTCACGTCAAAGTTGTATGACGGTCAATAACAGGTGTTGCTGGATTGTTGCGGAGTTAGTATATCATCTGGTCCTATTGTAAAGTGACAGGATGTTTGTTTCCCTGTGGAATGTCTTAATGTTTAAATATTCAGTAGGTTTGGAATAAAAGTCCCTTATTATAGAATATCCTTCCGGGTGAACACGCTTCTTAGGTTGGTTGAGCAGTATATGCCAGTTTCATCATGGCTTGTTGGAGGAAGGTCTGTGTGACGTCGCGAGACGTTTGCTGCCTCGCTGGTACCTACCTCTGTGGTCATGGTCACGACGCATTTAGGTTTGGAAACCAACGTCACCGTATCCTGACACAGCCAAGGGCGCAAAGCACGAAGGACATCGCGGAGCGGACCTTTATCATAGAGGTTTTGGCCGGGCATTTATAAAGCAAGATCAGCACATGTTCCATGGTCATAAAACCAAATCCCTCACTCACTCACTCACACACTTTGACAGATTGCTTTGTGTCGTTGTTCCGACAGGTTGATAAGTTCGTGGACTGATTGACATCAAGTCGTTTTAAAAACTTATAAGCTTTAAAGAACCCATATATATTTTAATTGGTCTGTAACTTGAGAATGTGTTTGCTTTTTAATACACTAATGAGATACTTAAGATATTGTTTGTGCACTCACTGTAAGGCGGTAGTAATTGACATTAGACACTTACACCGCTTTGTATGACGTCACCACCCCCATAAGTCGGGGCGATACCAAAATTTGGTTACATGTAAGACAGATGAAAATAGGTTATGTTATTAAATATGTTTCACAGCACAATACTATTCTTCTAAACGCCATGACATCCGATGAACTAAGCCTGTGTAATCTGCTTTAATTGGGGCCCTGTGGATCAAGGGTGTGTTTTGTTGGGTTGGTTTTACAAATAGATATAAGCAGCTCTGGTAGTGAGTTTATGGCAAAGGTGATACATTTATTGTTCCCCGTGAAGAAAAATAACTGGAAAAGTGCGTTCAAAATAACAAATCAACGATTCACGAATTTCTTCCCGTATATGATGCCATTTAACGAAATATATTGAAAAATCTTTTCATGAAGATTGAAACAAAAGCATACTCAATTTAAGCTTACAACAACCACACAGTTATCGAACTGTATTTCAGTGGAAATGAAACGTTCAAAATAAGACATCGTCAGCTGAACCAGAACTGAGTGTTTGAGAAGGCAAAGCGTACGTAAAATACTAGAAGCTGCGTTTCTGTCGACGTATATCGAATAACGTCACAGTGAGTACAGAGCTTGAGTGCGTGAGTGAATAATGTTTTACGCCGCTTTTAGGAAAATATTCCGGCAATATCCCGGCGGGGGTTTCACATACTGCGCCCATGAGGGGAACTGAACCCGGGCCATAGACGTGACAAACAAACGCTTCAACCACTAGGCTAAACTACCGCCCCGCCTGTACAAGGAATGAATGAGGATGGTATAACGCCAGTTTCAGATATATTTAAGCAATATCACATCAGGAGACACCAAGAATGGATTGCAAACTCTATTCCCAAATAAAATTGAACCAGGTTTTCGGCAATGAACAAAACGTTAAATCCACTTGGTTATCAAACCGCCTCTCTTTTACATTCACAGATTGTGGGTTTTCGTTGAGTTAGGAGCACGTTGGTCGTGTTCCGGCTGATGACGTTGCTATGGCGTTGCAAAGTTGTCGCTATGGCGATGGTTTTAGAAGTGAATTATCCATAACCAAAATGTACTCTGTGTATATTGTGTATATTTAGCGATGTTTGATTTCTACGGACAAGTGTTTAATGTGTGAGGTTGTAGCTCACAGGTCTCAGATGACATAATATCTCTCTCTCTCTCTCTCTCTCTCTCTCTGTCTGTCTCTCTCCCTCTCTCTCTCACACACACACACACACACACACACACACACACACACACACACACACACACTTGACGAGCTTTAGTATTTCGACATTCAGTATGTATTCTAAAGAATATCAATTTACATATTCTCTCTATATAATTTATAGAAATAACTATTCCATGCTGTCAATCGGTCTGACTCATATTATTTAAAGGGGGAAATATGATCATGATCCCTTCATAACTTTGAATTACTTATGTAAACTCTTCTGTTAAACATTTCAAAAAGAAATATCAGTTGGTCTTGGTTGATTATTTATTCAAATGTACATTTAAACCGCCTCGAAACCAAACAGATAGCTCGATACCATACCGTTGCTGCGTCCATACATTGGCTAGGATCATGTAACAGTCGATACTGGTTACATAGAAAGAGGAAACAATGTTTGGGTGGTTGATGTGTGACACGTTGCTCAGTGTGTGCCATCGTACCACAACGGGGTCGATCGTTCTTTATGATTGCCCCTTGTGAGCCGGAGTAGTAGGCTCAAACGACTCCCCCTAAGTTTGACTCTAGAGTCATATGGGCCTAGGCTCACATGACTCCCCCAGCCAGGTTCAAACACCCCTCTAGGCTCAGCTAACTCCCCTACTGGGCCCAAATGACTCCCCTTGTTTTGAATTAAAATCATTACAGAAAAGATCAAACATATCTTGTATTTTAAAGGGTTTTCAACCCCTCTTCCTAATTTTCTATTCTGAAATGTCAGGTTAAGAACAATCCCCAATATTGTGTGTCAGATGTTTTGGTAGGAGTTGTTTTATTACTGTTTTATATTTACTTTATTTGGAAAAACTCCAGGTGCCTCTCTAAGATCACTATACTTTTCTTAACCTATAATTTATTTTCAGAATAGTTCCTGTGTCTTACATCCAATTCTTGAGTTTCACTCCCCCTATTCTATATCCAATTCTTTAATATCAGTCTCAATACACTCCCCCTATTCTATATCCAATTCTTTAATATCAGTCTCAATCCACTCCCCCTATTCGATATCCAATTCTTTAATATCAGGCTCAATACACTCCCCCTATTCTATATCAAATTCTTTAATATCAGTCTCAATACACTCCCCCTATTCTATATCCAATTCTTTAATATCAGTCTCAATCCACTCCCCCTATTCTATATCCAATTCTTTAATATCAGTCTCAATACACTCCCCCTATTCTATATCCAATTCTTTAATATCAGTCTCAATCCACTCCCCCTATTCTATATCCAATTCTTTAATATCAGGCTCAATACACTCCCCCTATTCTATATCCAATTCTGTAATATCAGTCTCAATAGACTCCCCCTATTCTATATCCAATTCTTTAATAGCAGTCTCAATCCACTCCCCCTATTCGATATCCAATTCTTTAATATCAGGCTCAATCCACTCCCCCTATTCTATATCCAATTCTTTAATATCAGTCTCAATCCACTCCCCCTATTCTATATCCAATTCTTTAATATCAGGCTCAATCCACTCACCCTATTCTATATCCAATTCTTTAATATCAGTCTCAATACACTCCCCCTGTTCTATATCCAATTCTTTAATATCAGGCTTAATACACTCCCCCTATTCTATATCCAATTCTTTAATATCAGTCTCAATACACTCCCCCTATTCTATATCCAATTCTTTAATATCAGGCTCAATCCACTCCCCCTATTCTATATCCAATTCTTTAATATCAGTCTCAATACACTCCCCCTATTCTATATCCAATTCTTTAATATCAGGCTCAATACACTCCCCCTATTCTATATCCAATTCTTTAATATCAGTCTCAATACACTCCCCCTATTCTATATCCAATTCTTTAATATCAGTCTCAATACACTCCCCCTATTCTATATCCAATTCTTTAATATCAGGCTCAATCCGCTCCCCCTATTCTATATCCAATTCTTTAATATCAGGCTCAATCCACTCCCCCTATTCTATATCCAATTCTTTAATATCAGGCTCAAATTACTCCCCCTATTCTATATCCATGTCTCTAATATCAGGCTCAAACTACTAAGTATAGTCCTGAGTTCCAGACCCAAAGGGAGGGGAGACATATTGTTCAGCTCCGTTGGCGTCGGCTTCGGCGTTCCCATCCAATTCCGAGACATAACTTAAAAAAGCCGTCCAACATTTCTCCTTCCCATATGCATTGCTCATTTGAAATTTGTCAAAATTATAAAAAACAATTATGTTTCAATGAAAACAATTTTGACTTAGTCTGAAACGAGGATAGGGTTAATTTCCGGGCCATAACTTGAAAACCGTTCAACATATTTCCACGAAACGTATATGCATTGCGAAATATGCATTGCTCGTCAGCTTCACTGGGCCTTTTGCTATTTTGATTTGTTTCTAAATTCTGTTTTGTTAGGATTCCACGGAAACAATTTGGACATCGTCTCAAACAACTCTGGGCTTCGTTTCCGAGCCATAACTCTC